AAAAGCAGGTAGTCCAGCTGATATTAAAAGAAAAACTTGGGAGCAGAAGCTATCTGTGCGCGTTTTCTATTTTGTTACTCTCATTTTCAAATAGCTAATGTAGGACATTCTGTCACACACTGGTGTTTTATGAAATGCATATTTTATGACAACTAAATGACAAATTTGTCTGAAATGAAGCTATTCTTTGAAGAGTTAATTATAACCTGTGTAACATTAAAGAAAATCAATATATGTTTGGAACGAGTCACTATTGAATCTTATTCCAAACAGAGGAAATCTCTTCTAAAAAATTAAGCTCTAAAAGTTCTGAAATTTAAAGCTTTTGTTAAATTAACCTAATTTTGGTGTTAATTTATTTAAAAAAAAAAAAAAAAAAACTGTCAATATATCTGTGTAATAATCTTTTTGTAGAGTAACATTACATAATCTGCTTGTATGATGTTCAGCTGAAATTTTCACATTTAATGTTGTTTGACAGCAAAACAATAGGCCAGACTGGTCTAATTGCTGAACACCTTGACATATGTAATATTTGGACTTTGAAAGGCATTGCCAAATGTTGGGTATCTGTTCCAATCTTTCAAGCTCGTTCAAATACATAGACAAAGATCTAAGAATTTTCTCTGAGAATTGCTCATGGAAGAAAAAAAGAAAAATGCATAGATTTTTTCCCATCCTTTCCAGAAGCAGGGGGTTTGTCTCAGATATCTCTCAGTAATTTCAGTATACAGGTTTTTCATTGTTGTTTGTTATAATGTATTCTATTTGCTACGGGAATAGTGTCTCATTTCTGCAGCTACAGTCATCTGGAGTAGAATGAACTACAATTTTAACAAGAAATAACTAAAAATGTTTTCAAGTTGACCTACCCTTTTCTAAGAGTGACTACAAGGCTTAGAAACAGATGTTAAATATTTAATTTGTACACACTGGCAAAATATTAAAATAATAAAGCAAGAACATATACAGTACTAAGAAAGAAAGATATTGAAATAGATTTAAAAAAAAAAAAAAAAAAGGAAAAAAAAGTTAAGGTTTATCATATTCATTGGTTTTATAGTTCCAAAAAAAAAAAAAGTTTGAAGAAAAAAGAGGACAAGTCTAAAATAATTTCACACTCTACTTAGGGGAGTACACCTTTTAGTTATATGTGGGTGTTAACTTCACAAACAATTATCTGTAGGTATCTAGAATTCCATCTCACCTGATCATTCAGATAGGTCAGGTAGGCTCTGCAACTGTGTGGTCATTTCAAGAAAATTGGTTTTCTCACAGTATCTGCAAAGAAGCCTGAGGTGACGTAAAACCAATCAATTGTAAAATTAGAGGCAGATTATTATTGGGATTACAGGAGAAAATAGGTATATCATCTGCATACAATGAAACTATATTTATGGGGTTTCCAAATTTCATTCCTTGAAGCAGTTCTTGGTTGCTGAAAAATAAGGCTAAAGGTTCAATTACAATTGTTAAAAGAAAGGAGGATAATGGACAGCCTTGTCTAGTTCCCTGGTGTCATTTTAAAAAGGGCGAGTTTAAATTGCTAGTATGTACACACCTGGCCAGGATATTACACAATATTTTTAATCCAATTTTTATGAAGGTCTTTCTAAAATGAAGGGTGTGGGTTTTTTGTGTGTTTTTGTTGTTGTTGTTATTGTTGTAGATTTTTGCTATTGTTGTAGTTGTTGTTGTGGGGTTTTATTTGTTTTGTTTTGTTTTGTTTTGGTGTTTCTTTTTTTTGGTTGGTGTTTGGTTTTGTATGTGTATTTAAGAACAGTCAAAAATATTTCCATTTTAATGAATCAGGAGTTTCCCAGCCAGCTGAATGGACAAACCTACATTATCAAATTCTCATGGTGAATAAACATACAACTTTGAATCATCCTCAGTGAAATACAATGGAAATAACCCAGATTGATCTGTGTGGACAAGGTTTCCTAATGAAAATCCTTTGTGATGAGCTGAAGTAGTGCTTCAGCAGGCCTCTGCTCCTCTTTAAACCTTCACTTAAGGCTTGCTAGAGATTTGAGCGCCTGTATGTGCACTTTGGGTGCAGAAGTGTATTATTTCAGCAACAGTAAATTAATCTAGTCCAGGGTTTAAAACCGATTTCCAATGCAGCAGATTCATAGGAAACAGTTCATTGCGATTGTCAAGTTGTGTAATAGCATGTTTTTTGATTCAAATTTTCAGTTAAACACTTCCAATCACAGTTCAGAAGTGTATGTACAATTTCTCAATGAATGGTTACTGGCAGCTCATCTAAGCATGTTACTTTTTCCAGTGTTAGGCTTTAGCAGTATTTATTATTTCTTACTAAGTCTAGGGTTACACTTTGATCTAGTGAAAGTTTCAATAAAGTGCTTTTGTTTACAAACTTTATCTCCTGTTTAAAGCAACTTGGAAGATTAGAGTGTCTGACAGTGCTCTTTGAAAGTGTTATTTATGATTTCTAGATCATGTGTCAAAGTTTGAGACTTTAGTTTTAATAATTGACGCAGCTTGGGATACTTCATCTTATTCTTTACACAGAACATGTGCCAGCAGTTTCTCATTTGTATTCTCACTGGTTTACTTTATATGAAAGCTTTTCTGCAACCACGGTGTGTTGTAGTTTGTTCATTTTTTGTCAGCTAATTCAGCTGAGATTTTTTTTACTGCACATATTAGTATGCATTGATTTTTGTCATTTAAAAACTATTATTCAAAATTACTATTGTTGTATCTTCTCTTTTTTTGAGGTCTGCACCATTGTTAATTGTGGTTTTTAATGATTCTTGTCTTGGATTTTATAGCATATTATTACCATCACAGAATCAAGTTTCAAATTAATATTTTGGTCTGAAGAAGAAAAAAAGAAAAAAAAGAAAAAAAAAAGCACTCCTTTTCTTTTCTCAAGAAGTGTTTGATTTGTTCATGCAGTTTCTTGCTTGTGAGAATTGCAATAGGAAAAATTACTGCTACTTCTACAGTGGGAAAACTGAAGATTTGCTTGGTCATTGGTGGTGAAGATTTTCTGTGGAGAAGAACTTACATCCATTTCCAAGATAAATACTCTCAAGGTCCATTGTCTGCAGCATACACCCTCCCCCCCTCCCCCTACCCCCAGTGGGCACAGGACTATCTTCCAAGTGCTGCAGACACCAGGCTGGTTTTGAAGAGTGAAATATCAAAAGAAAAGTCAAAACTGTATATGTAACACTTGTGTGACATTTTCGCTTTGGCCTCATTTTTCTAAAAGACCAGAGCATATTAATCCACTTCCCATATCTCGTTCATAGGCATCCCAAGACAAAACGAACTGAAATGCTGTAAGCCTGAGACAACTAATAGGCAGATCATTGAAGTTAGTCAATCACTCCAGGCAAATGAGCATACATTTCTTTCTAGCCCCTTAAAAAGGAAGACTTTCCTCAGCCATGCCACCTGTGTACTTTTGAGTGACAGCACTCCCAGCTGAAGTTTGGATCTGTGAATCATGCTGATGATCAGTAGGGTAAACCTTCAACAAAAGGTGAGATCCTTGAAGCATTTCCTTTCCCTGTGAAACTCACTGTGTCTTATCCACAAAGAATTGGATCCAGCTTCTTTTCATCCATTTCTCACCAGCACCGGGACATCTGGGCAATAACACTGACTGCCTCTGCAAAAGTAGACAGGCAGCTGTGCGAGTGCTCTTGGTGATAGATCCCACAAATATGTTTGCAAAGGTAGAAGATGGGATTGAAAGCTACATATCCCATGAGGGAGAGTCTTCTGTTATCTGTCCAAGAGGAACATGCAGAGCCCACACAGAGCTGCACATCCAGGCCTGTCAGGTCCTGTAAATGAATCAGCTGCACCCAAGGGACTGGTGGTGTTGAAGGTTGTTGATGGATCAAGTAACAGTAACATACACGTCTTCCCTCTTTCAGTGGCTGTAAGAAGCTCACCCACCAGGATCATTACAGCTGTACATCATGCCGTACTCCAGACTGATGCCTGATTATGGAAAGCATTGGATTTGGCAGCTGGCGTATTCCTGGAGACTCCTCTACCTGTATTCTGTTTAGACATGAGAGTTTATATATCTAAAGAATTCATGTTTCACATACTTGTTGAAGTGAAGATAGATGGCAGAAAGAGGTCTAAGAAGCCTTATGTGCCCTAGTTTTCAACCAGTTCTGAGCTTAGCTTTAATGTAAAAACCTATTATTTCAAACCTTAAACCTTCTGTTAGAATTTAGTTTAAAATCAAATGTTTCTTTCTCCCAAGATATTTAATTTCTTTATGGATTGTTGTATTAAAATAAAATTTTCCTGTCGATCTCCCTCTTTTTATGATCCTTTCTTATACAAAAGTTTCTTGGTTCTGTACAAGAAATAGATGGAGAAAAAGAGAAAAAATATTTATATATATATATGGATACTTTTATATATGTATATATATAATGGATTTAGAGAATATTTTCTAGGAAGCTAATAAAGGAAGGAACGTAGGACATCAGCTTTATTATGTATAATAGTTATTGCAAATAGAGAGAAATGGTGATTCATTGTTTGTTACTGAAATGACCCACACAGTAACAATTGCACTGTATCATGGGAATTATTGAAAGATCTTGTAAAAAAATTCACCATATCTCATGTATTAATTGTCCACATAACTTCCACTACAACTGCACATTGAGAAACAGGCAAGTAAATTCAGAAACTTGAGACAAGAGGTCCTGCCCATAGAATATGAGAGATCATAGAATCATGAAATCATAGAATCACTTAGGTTGAAAGAGACCTAAAGACCAAATCCAACCATCATCTAGCACTACAAGTCCACCAATATACCATGTCCCTAGGTGCCATATCCACATATCTCTTAAATACGTCCAGGAACTGTGACTCCATCACTTCCCTGGGCAGCCTGGTGCAACGCCTAACCACTCTTCCCATTAAGAAATTCTTCCTGACACCTAATCTAAACCTCCCCTGATGCATTTTGAGGCCATTTGCTCACATCCTATGAACACCCTTAAGTTATTTTTCATATATTGATGTTCTACATTCAAATTTCAAATCAACAGTAGTTCCCACAGAATCTCAAATTAAATGCAAAGAAATTCTGGAGGTCTGTAATTTATTTCTGCCATGCCAAGGCAGCACATATAGCTGCAGATGCAGTGGTAACCAAGGTACTGATATGCTGTTTACAAATACTAACAGGCAACCATGAGAGCACTAGGAGAATGCTAGATGTTCAATTAGCATAGGACAGGGCCTGTACCCTACTTTTATTAATGTAAATATAACTGATTAAACCAGAGGGATCATTCTAATAAATAGTTCTTGTTTGAGCAGGACATTAACTGAAGGAAAAATTATATGAAGACTTAAGGTTAAGATTTGATTGAAGATTTTAGGCTACTGAATCTATTTAGTAATTAGATAAGGACTAAAGGGAACATTTTATCTCAGAATGAATATGAATTATTTGTTGGAACAAAGAGCCAAAGTCCCGGGTGTCATGCTTTCATCTACTTACGGCAAATGGAGGAAACTTGGCTTCCTAGCAGTGGTCAGTAATCAAACGTGAAAATTCAGTGAAGTTAGTATTTTATCAATTACAAAGCTTTTTAAAGTATTGTTTTAAAATAATTGAAAATAAGCGTCAGTGGGAATAAATTCCTCATTTTAAAAATGTTTCTGCAGCAGGAATACCTAAACAAAATACAGCAAATAACTATTCTGAACAGTCTCTCAGGTAAGTGCTGATGTTAATTACACCAAGGTTCAGAGCTACATCATTTTCTACACTGTATTTCTCTGTTTTGTTTCCAAGGGTAATTTCACATAGGCAGGGTGAAGAGAACCATCAGGAGAGGCCAAATTTGCACAGGACAAGGTTTTCCTCACATTCGTTTCTATCTAATAGTGGATATACAGAAAAAGATTTTTTAAATCTGCAGTGTGGAGAAGGACTTCTTAGTTCAAGGTTTAATTGTGTTTGATCATTTGCAAATGCATAATTACAAACATTTACATGTGGAAACTTTGCAGTGGCTTGTTCAGTCAGGCTTGCTCACTGTGCAACAAACAAAAGAACCACAGGAAGTGGCCACCAACTTGTTTCTTCAAACACAAGTGTTATCTAAAAAAAAAAAAAAAAAGGCAGCTTTAGCTCTCTAGAGCACATGCATGATGGTACAATCTACAGAAAATAAATTGTTATATTCAAATGAGGGATATCAACACTTTACCAGGTAACCATATTTTGTTATTAAATTTATTTTCCAGGCTTCAAGGGATTTGATACTTATTTTTCTTTTGTATATCACTTTAAAATAAACCAGAATCCATGCAAAATCTAATTCCAAATTTGTATTCATGATTCAGAATGCATGAATTTGCATTTGTCTTCTATTAAAGCACTATTCTGAAGGATCAAAAGGATTTAGATTTTGGGGATGTTTATAAACGTGGAATGTAACGAACTTGTCTTCCAGCCCCAGTTTGTTGGGATCAGCCTCTCCAGTGAAGTATACAAGAATCTGAACCTTCATATTGATCCTTTCACATCCTGTTGATAAAAGAGGAGATACAAAGTAGTGTGATCTGCATATTTGCTACTAGAAGCACCCATCCTAGTCTTAGGATACACAAGCATAGGTACCATGGTGGCATCAGCACAGCTTTGTCTAGTATTCTTGAACAACTTTTGGGCAAGGAAGGCATCTGATACCCTCTTCTGACAACCTTAATGGGGAAAAGATTCAGGATACAAAGAAGAGGTTGTTTGTAATATTTCCATCTGAAATCTGGGAAGCATCAAATGGTGTTATGCAAACTAAGCCAAAATTCCAGAGACAATCTTGGAAGTGGGTTGAGATCTGCCATCTGATGTTTGTCTCAGCACCCATAATTTGAACTGAAAGTTTCCGGAGCTTAGTAGTGCTGAAAAGCCAGGCACAAGTTGACTACATTTGGATGTTTAAAATAGATGCACCCGGGAAGAGGATGAGCTTTGCAAATTCAGCTGCTTAGGGAAAAAAAAAAAAAAAAAAAATCCAGCCATGACACTTGTGTATGAAGGCAATCTTAGGATAGGAACCACAGCCAAAAATTAAACAAAAGAAGCAAGCACAGCGTGATTTCTGTCTGTGTAGAAGATAGATCTCCAGAAGGGTGTGCGGAGATTTCATAACATTCTTAACATATTTTAAAAATCTATTTATTAAGAAAGTAATAAATAAATAAATAAATAAAATCCTCTTGATTCCCATTATACCAAAATGGAAATTGAAAATAGTTTTGTAAACCTCTCAATTTTGGATATGGGGTATGTGACTATTACAAGCCTCCAAGAAACATACGGCTAAATCAATCAGCTAAAATTGTCATTAAAGCAAAACAGGCTGCAAGTGAAGTAGACAAAATTTGAAATATCAGGCAAATGGAACAGAAAGTAGCATAACAGACAGATCAATTTAGTGACTATCTAAGACTCAGTTCTAAAATAAGCTGAAGGACAAGTATGGGTAAAAATCCTTCCTGACGACATGGTCATTTCTTCATGATCAATTCTTCATCTGTACTGCATAGTGTTACACAAACTGGTTGAGATTAAAATCTTAAAGCTTCTTTTTTTTTTTTTTTTTTTTTTTTGGATTTGTCTCAACTGGCAGCTTATTCGAGGCTATTAATCAGATCTGATTCATAAGTCTCCAAATGTCATAAAGAGGGCTCACATAAAAAAATAAATAAATCATGTATATCATGCAAACATCTTTCTGAGAATGACTCAGATAACTGTAGGTTGTGCCACAGTTCTGTTGCTTGCTGTGCTGCTGTTTGCTTGCTGTCACTTATTCTAACTGGCTTTTCTGAAGCATATTTTCCATGGAAATCCTACATATTTTTCCCCTTTTCCTATCCTTAGAAAGACAGACCTTCAACATACCACAGTAATGAAAAACAGTACTTATATCTGTTTTTTTGTTTTGTTTTGTTTTGTTTTTTATGTTTTAGGTCAGATCGCTTTTACTTTCACCAAGCATGAATCAGCTATTAAAGGATCAACGGTCTTCAGGACAAAAAGACCTTTTCTTGTGCAATTTCAGTTTCTGGGCAAAATAATCCCTGAGAGGAATACAACGAATGTGGGAAAGCCTGTATGAAGATGCCATCCATGCTGAAGGCTTTTCCGGAATCCTTTAGTTTTCTGACTGAATGTGGAGGATAGGCATGTTATGTCAAGTCAGTTCAGTTAGAACCTCAAGACATCAAAATACTGAGCTGTAGACTGCAGAGCCTGACCCAGATAGCTGAAATATTTTACTAAAACATTACAAAACAAAGACTTTTTCTGAAGGTAACAGCCCTCTGGATTAAGTCTTGAATAAAGCTCATTTAAAAGTCAGCATTTTCCAGGAAAATTTGTTACTCTTTCAAATACTAAAAATGTTCTGCAAAAATTATGAACATGCTGGTGTGGAAATACTCCTAAGATGTCACATATATATATATATATATATATATATCAGACATTGTATGTTTTTGTTCTCTACTGTTGGTCACTTGCAGACAGCTTTCACCCTCAGAAAGTCATTATAACCTTCGCTTTAGGACAATGCAAAGGCAACATGCTAGGAAGCATTGTGCAGTGTATGTCTTTGGCTACAGTGCACCAGTTGGAAATACTGTATCTGTACACTGTCCCTAAAAGAGAACGGAGACAAAAGAACAACAGCACTGCAACTCTCATGAAGGCAGTGCTTATTTCCAATCAAAATACATAGCTCTTCAGCCAAAGCTACATAACTCTGAGATCTCTTTAAAGCATATATATATATAATTTAATTTAGAGAAATTTCAAAGAGAAAAAATCATCTTTAGCAAAACTAACAATATCTGTTGAAAATAATATAAGAATGGAATTACTAGAATGCCTTATCTTTTCAGCTTTAAATACAATATAGAGCTACAATAAATATGATTAATGCAAGAATAGATATTTGTAGAAAAGATAATGGAGGCTCAAATAATACTCATACAGAAAGTTTCATATACTTAAGAAAATATCCAGAAATCACAAAAGATATTTCAAAGTTGCTTTATATGAAAAATATACAGATGTAATTGTATACTGTTTCATTTTTCAGAACAAATTGAACTTCATAAAACAAAAAATCCATCTTTTACCTGTCTATTATACAGTGTCATGAAAGGTAAGAAATGTTTTATCACTGTCAACATGAATATGCAGCTTGTGCTTTTCTTCCTCCATTTTAAGAATAGTCCAGAAGGAAAAAAAAAAAAAAAAATTGAAAAAATATAGAAAAAGCCAACTAATGTAATGTGCTTTATACTGAAAAAGGTAAAAGGCATACTTTGTGATCTTCTGGGTGAACATACTCTTGAAGTTTTATCATATAAATCTGAAGTTTATTTTAAAGGAATATTTCTTTCATGCTACAGCTTGTACATTCCAAGTTCTGCTTATTCAAAATACTAAGACAATCTTCTTTTAAGTATTTTCTAAACAGATGTAAAATATGAATGTTTTTAGTTTGAACTGTAAGTATTCATGAACCTATTTCAATCTCAAAATTCTATTCAGGTTTCCTAAAAATTAACCTTGTGTTTCTCAAATTTAGGTAAATCTAAGAATATTCCCCAAATTATTATTTATTTTTATTTTTATTTTTTTTACTAGGATATTAAATCACATTAATGAAATATTCCTGTGTTTGCATCCACCCAAGGTCACCAAGTTCAAATCTATTTTTCTCCATTTTCTGCATTGCTTCAAACTATTGCTGTCAAAGAAGGCTGGGATGGTTTTCCATCACAGAAATGCAGACACAGTAGAAAGCATAACATAACTCTGTGTGATCTTAAATAACTCTGTGATGCCCTGATGTAGGTAGAAGCACTCTTAGAAGAATCACTGGAACCTTGTATTATAATTTTATTTTTTTGTGTGTTGTTGTTGTTTGTTTTTCCTGAATGATGGAAGATCTCACATGTACCATTATAGCTTTACAACAGTAATTTCTGTACATCCACCTTAATATAGTATGTTACTATATGTTAGTATTATAGTCAATATTATTAGTAGCAACACTAATAAATTCACACAATCACACACACATATACAAAAATAGAATATCTGTTTCCCTGAAGATAAGTATAGAGCCAGAATGGTCAAAAATGTGGAGGCTATTGTTGTTACAACTAGCTGCAAATACTTCTGATAGAATCATTTTTTAAAGGCAAATTCAAAAATGTCCGAACTAAGTTGCTCCGAACCCTACATGTTTTTTTGTCAAAATTTTGTTTCAGCAAAAAATGAAGACTAAAGTTGCAGAAATGAAGAAAAATGTACTGTTTGGCTATCTTCCAAATGAATCATTTCAGATTTTGAGTGATGTAAGCCTGTGTTTTTCAATACAAAAGTATCAAAAGAAGAGATTTTAATCAAAGGATGTGATTATTTCAGAGAGACATATTTTGATTGATCGGCAATATTTTCATGTAAGTGGAAGAAAGGATCTGATTTTCTTCACTGCAGTGATATGTAAAGCTTGCATCTGTCACATTTTCTTTCTTTCACCTGCATCCTTCCAGGTAGATAGCAGAATGGCAGTTTAGGTTAAATGACTGCCGCTGAAATTCTTCTTGCACAAGGTGATTTTCCTTTGTGTGGAAACTTCACCACAAAATCTTCTGTAAAGACAAATTGAGGTCCGTGATGCCCAAGATATGGCCAAACAGGTGTACATATAGCTTAATCTACAACAATCTCAGTAGATATTATTTCCCAGGGATGTTACTGTAGGCCATGACATGTTCTGGGGAAGGTCCTGCTCAAGTAAACTACCTTCACAGGGTACACAAAACCTCTTACAGTAACATTGTCAATGGCTTTGGGAGTCTCAAATGTTTTTGTACGTCTGCAAGTTAGAAAAACATGTATATACTTCAGGGAAGGAGCATTCTGGGTACAAATTCAAAAGCTTAATTTCCTCCAGTGCATTAAATAAATAAATAAATAAATAAATAATAACATAAAATAAAATAAAAATACAAATATACATTCAAATTGCTACGGAAAAGAAATAATTTTAGGAATAACTCCTGCACAGATTT